AAGAAAAAAATTTTTTAAATTTTTTTCAACCTTTGTAACCTAATAAACTGCCCCAGTTGCTACCTTCCAATGACGAGCTGTTTTTTGTTTTTGTCTGGTTTTGTTCACATCGGTAGAGCAGAAAGGGCCAGAAGCAGGGGAAGTGATGACAGAAACCAGAGTGGCAAACTGCCTATTCTCTTTATTGGCGGTAATAAGTCTAATTTGGCCTGCAGGTGAACATGCATTCAAGTCGGAGAGCTGTCTATCAGCATTAGTTAAAGGAGTGGATCATTCCACAGAGACGCTCACAATGAATATTCATCAGCACCATAATGTTCTCCTTCTCTCCCACCTAAACAGGAAAATAGCCTTCAACCCTGAGGCTTGCCTTGTCTGTGACTCGCACCTTACTCAGATTCTTTTTTTTTCTCCATTTGTCATGAGCCTCAACTGGTTGTCAGGCGGTTTAGAAGGAGATCAAAATGTTAAAAGTTGACTCACGGCTGCGGTTTTTGTTGAAATTGTGAAGCGGGTCGAAGCCGGTCTCCTGCTGCTCGTCTGTCTGGAGTGGGTGACGGGTCTCAAAGTTTGGGTGCTGCATGACTGTGGCTCGGCTGGAATAGAGCGAAGGCAGAGAAAAATAGAGACCAAAACAAAAAGAAGACAATGAAAGCAGGTTTTAAAGTGTCACAGAGTATTTTTCGTTGGGAGTTTATCTATAGATCAGTGCCTGAAGCAGGGGAAATTGCGAATAAAGAAAAATGATGCAGTTTTAAAATGTTTTCCCAAGAAAATTCCATAAAATCTGATTGCTTTTCTACTTACTAATAAATGACTAATTGTTTTGGTGTGAACAAAAGATATTGACTCATTAAATAAAGCCCAAGTATGATGTAACATACTCCAAAAAATAAAAAAGTATGATGTAACCCTTTTTTATTTTTTGGAGTATGTTAACTTGAGTAATAGTTTTTTTTTTGCCTCAGCTTAGCTTTGTAATCCACTTGTTGCTGGTTTTACTTCTTGAAATGTGATTTCAACATGCAAGATAGCAGCCCTTAGGACTGAGTTTGGATACCACTGTTTTAGAGATTTACATGACATTTCACAAACGTGGGAAACTCGGAGCAGATATTTGTATTTTATACATTTTATCAAGGCGTTAGTTGTCACCATGTGGACAAGTTGTTCAGTAGAAGAAGTTCTCAAATCAGAGTTGTAATTTCATTGCGGTAAAAGATTTAACCTTAAACCTCTATTCTGTAGTGAAAGTGCGAAGAGAATCAAGGCTCTCCTGTTTTCTTTTCTGTTTGTTTTTAAATAATAATCAAAATAGCTGTCCTTATTTTTTGTGGCACTTTTATGCTGAAGTTCTTTACATGTGGTGTAGAATGCAGCTGGTTCTACACATCAATACATTAGTTGGTTATTGAAAGGTTTTTTTAAATTACTTTGATATTTATTCAGGAATTTGCTGATATTAGAACATGTTATTTGTATTTTTGAATACTTAAGTGCTTTTAAATGCATGTACTTTTAAAAACTTAAGTATTTTCAAAACTGAGTACCGAGTGAGTAACTTTTAATCGCAGTCCAGCAAGATTTGACTATGAATATCAATACTTTTACTACTGTTAAGTACAGTGTCTGTAACATTACAACATGTGGTAAAGCTCATGGTGCAGCATTTTCTCCACATGGTACCCTATTAACCAGATTTAGATTAGTGACGGAGGATCAAACATTCAGGACTTCTCTAACATTTCCCATTACATCTGACCTCCGAGTTAACCAAAACCCCAGGACTAATTTAAGCAAAAAAAAAAAAAAAAAAAGTCAGTGACAAACACCCATCATCACCTTTAAAATAGTTTAATTTTGTTTATCTCTGTACTTACACACACAGCCGCCAGATTCTCCTAAATCAGGAATCTGAAGGTGGGGGTGGTTCTACAGGAGGAAAATGTAACATCAGTAAAACAAATAGTTTTATTTAGAAAAAAAAAAGACATAGACAAAATCAACAAAAATAATCTACAGCATGCTTTTTGTTTTGATGCAGACTTTACAGAAACCTAATACAGAGTGGAGTCAGTGAAGAATGGATGGAATTAAGAAGAAAGCATTTGAGACACTCGACTGAGCTCACTGTGATGTATGGAGAGAATCAACAAAGCTAATGAAGCCATTAGAAAGGCAAATTAATGCTTCACTGTTAAGAGATGAATACATTTCAGACTTTACCTCTAATAGAAAACAAATAGGTGTTTCAGAAACGATGAGAGAGGTAAAAGGTTCATTCTCTATTATAAAAAAAAAAAAAAAAAATCCAGTTTCATAAAGAAAGACTTCAGTCACTATTGAGCCCCTTGCATCCGTACTCTCTAAGGTATTGTTCTAAGGGATTTAAAAGTGGCTAAATTAACACCGCTGTTTAAAGGTATAGTAGTGGATGTTCTTTTTCTGGGTGGATCATCAAAATAAGTGGTCTTCCTAATTGTCATCATCATTCTAGTGATATGTTTACGTGAGGCCATCCTACATGTTTGTCCCCATTTTCACTTACCGGTGTCTGACATGGTGGAAAAATGCAGAAACAGGCTTGTAGACGCTCTCGCACAGGTTTAATAGGCGTTCCCTCTCGGGAGTGCGTAAGCCTGTGTGTGCATTTTTATTTATTTATTTTTTTTTATTCACGAAAATCCTTCACCGTACCTTTAAGCCTGGAGATGTCAGTCTATATGTTCTCTAAAGTACTTGAAAAATTTGTTTATGAAAGAATACCAAAACATCTGTCTAATAACTGCATTCTGTATAAGCATTAATATTCAGAAAAAAAAAGTTATCTTGAAGTTGGAGACATAGTTAAGAAACAATGATCCAAATCAGATTTTTTTCTCTCACTTTAGTATAAAGTTGGCAAACGCCGAGGTATTCTGTAAATGAAAAAAAAAAGTGAATGATAGTCAATGTTTATGGATGCAAAAAGTACTTTTAAAGATCAGCAGCATTTGGTTGTACAACACCAGTTTCAAGGTGAAAAACCGGATGTCAGAGGATGTGAGATCTGTAGTATCCATCAGAATCTACCATCATGACGCAACTGTGCAAAAATCTCTGCTTTTGGATCAGTTGTCTTTGGTCATATGCGTCACAAACACACTCCTGTGATTTTGTTCTCTTGCAACCAAGAACACCATAAACAATGTGCTTCAGTTTTCTGGGAAAAAGTCCAGCACTGTAACAGATGTCCTCTGCACAGCTATAAACCTCCACCGCTGTCTCCTTCCCTTCCTTATCCTCTCACATTTTTTAGTTTCTCCTTATAAACCTCTTAACACCACTAACTTG